CTCCTTTCCTCTCTGAAAATATGTATTAAAAAAAGAGAAAGAAATGTGACTAGTCTGAATTGAGGTGTTCTGTAAGAGTGTAGACCACACTTCCAGTTTCAAAGCCTTTGGATGAAAGAATACAAACTATCACAATAATAATTTTCTTTTAGATTGATTACATGCTGAAATAATATTTTGAATAAATTGGGTCAAATATATTAAAATTACGTTTAAAACTAGAAAAGTTGCATATGAGACTGGCATATTTCTTCTATTGGACAGTGTGTTCTAGAGACAGTGAAATTTAGGGTAAGCATTATTTCCTATGAATCATTTCAAGAGGTGCATAGTATTAGTTATAATAATGTCCCACTCGTGGTGATACTAAATTTGGTTATTTCCCAAATTCTTCATTTTAAAGATACATTTTGATCACATCCAGACTTTTCATTATAAAGATACATATTTTAAAGTCACTTCCAGAGTTTTTGTTGTAAAGATACTTTTAGAAAACAAGTTCAGAACTTTCCATTGCCAAGATACATTTCCAGAATTTCTGGAACTCTCCAGAGATGAGATACATTATTTCTTTTGCAACCAGAAATCTGTGGAAGGAGGTGTGATCTGAATTGGCACCTTGGGAACGTCCGGCTCCCAGTTTTTGAGCACAGATTTAGTTCCCCGCGAAGCTCCTTGGCTGAAGGAGTTATGTTGGGGGCTTTGGAAATGCTCACCTCCTCATGCTGTCATTTCTTTTTCATAAAGAGTTGTCATGCTCGGCCAGCATGGCTCAGTGGTGAACCAGGAGGTCACGGGTTCGATTCCCCGTCAGGGCACATCCCCAGTAGGATGCAGGAGGCAGCAGATCAGTGGTTCTCTCTCATCATTGATGTTTCTATCTCTCCCTTTCTCTCTGAAATAAATAAAAAAATATATTTTTAAAAAAGAGTTGTCGTTTTTCTATAGAGAAGAACATTCCTTTTTCATTTTATTTTTAGGTGAAGGAGCCGTGTGGCATGTGGATTAGTCACATCATACAATGGGTGCTTGATTAGAAAAGTTGGGCACAAACGGAATGTTAAAGCATGGGGATCAGCTTGCATGTACAGTGATTGTTCGCTCTTCAAAGCAACCTTATTGTAAATATTTTTGGCAAAGCAAGTAATTACCTCTTAATTTTTGTTGTTCAATTCACAGTATTTGAATTTCATGTATACCATATTTATTCAACACATTACTGATGCGTATTATGTTTCAAATACTGTGCTAAGCACTTGGAATAGAGGGGAAAGCTGAAGACACGTGGTGTCCTTCATGTGGGATGCTGTCTTTCGGTTAAGAAGAGAGTAAGATTGCCCAGAACCCAGGGAGCGTAGGCAGTTACGAAGCTTTACCTGAAGACCCTTGATTTGGGAGGTATTGTATAGGTTTTTGTTAACAACTTACTCAAGTCAATGCCTTGAAGTTCGGAACCCCAAGCAACCGTTCTGCGTGGGTCTGATGACGGGAGTATGTAGCGTAGTTGGCAGTTTCCTCCTGTCGTCTTTTTACTACAACATTGAATTATGATTGCTGACTCCTCCCCTCACTGTGCAATTTTGTCTAATTTTTTTGGCCTCCAAAAACATTTTCCGTGTTTGGGGGTTCACACCTCCATAAGGCATGTCCTTGAGCTGTATTCAGAGGCTCCTGAGTCCCTGAGGACTCCAAGCAGTGGGGAGGCGATCGCCCGCCCATCCCTGCCTTTGTTCACGGACCCCCTGGGGCCTGGGAAGGAAAGCAGCAAGTGGCACCTCTTTCCTGGCACGGTCAAGGAAGGCCAGGAGTAGAGATGTCTCGGAGCTCTGAGGCGGAGGACAACCTGGCATACTGCAAACTTTAGGAGACCAACTTTCCTGACGGATTCAAGTACCGAGTCCGGGCTGGAAGACCTTTCTACCCCCGCTCTCAGGATAGTTGTGGGACTCATCCTGCTGAGTTGGACCAGCAGTCCTGGGACGAAGAGAGGCTCTGCTGCTCTCAGCCACAGGACAGGGCAGGGATCTGTGGCCTCTGAGTTGCCTAAGGGAAGGCCGAGTGACACTGCTAGATTAATGCTTGCTAGAGTTATCTCAGAGCAAAGGGATTTTCCACCAAAGATAAGTTTTTTAAAAAAAACTATATATATATCTCCCCTATATAATAAAACCCTAATATGCAAATTGACCAAAAGGCAGAATGACCATTGCTATAATGCACACTGACCACCAGGGGGCAGAAACAACACATGAGCTGCCCCCTGGTGGTCAGTGTGCTCCCACAGGGGGAGCACTGCCCAGTGAGAAGCCAGGCTCACAGCTGGTGAGTGCAGTGGCTGTGGCAGGAGCCTCTCCCACCTCCGCAGAGCTAAGGACCCCTTGGGGGGATGTCTGCCGAGGGGTCCTGGACTGCGAGAGGGCGCAGGCTAGGCTGAGGGCCACCCCCCCTCAGTGCACGAATGTCATGCACCAGCCCCTAGTACATACAGTATATATTTATTGATTTCAGAGAGTAAGAGACAGAGAAAGAGAGATAGGAACATCAATGATGAGAGAGAATCGGCCAACTCCCGCACTCCTCCTACTGGGGATCGAGCGTGCAACTCAGGCATGTGCCCTGACGGGGAATCAAACCATGACCTCCTGGTTCTTGGGTCAGTGCTCAACCACCGAGCCATGCCAGCCAGGCTGGTTTTTGTTGTTGTTGTTGTTGTTTTTTTGTTTTTTTTTTTACCATACACTATATCTTCAGCAGCATCTCCTTTCAGATTAGTAAGACGGACATGCCACAGTTAGGCGTGTGCCTGTCTTTAAATAATAAGATGCCTGTTCATTGAGTGGCTGTGACCTCAGGTTCCAGAATGTCAAGGCAACATTCTTCAGAAGAGCTATTCCCCTTTGGACTGAACCTGTGTTAGAACCAGTTTACTGTCAAGGGAAAGGATAGCCCAGTGACCGGGGAACTCCTGTCACTATGGATTGCTTTGGAAGCGACTTCTCCAAGTTTCCCGAGAATGTGTGCTTACTCAATGTGCACTCTCCTCTGTCGCTTTCACTCATGTCATCTGAAGATGAACATTTAATTTCCAACTGGAGGTAGGGAGTTCGGCGTTTTCCCTCCTTCTCTTACCCATTTCTCTCCCCAGCTTTTGCTCTTGGGTTTGATTGATCAAATCAATCTATGTAGTAAAGAGGGAATATGCTAATTGGTTCTAACGGTGTCCCAGTGGTGACTGGTGACCCGTCAACAGGCAGGAGCTGCTGGGCAGGGATGGGGCGGGGACTTCTGCCCCCAGCACAGGCTGTGCAGGCCTGCCCAGTGCTAACATCACGCTGCCTGTGTGCGTCCCTGCTCAGCACTGAGGTGAGACTGCCTGCCTGCGTCCCTGACCTGGGACGTGACACTGCCTGCGTGTGTTCCTGACCTGGGACATGGTGCTACCTGCCTGCGTCCCTGACCTGGGACGTGACACTGCCTGCGTGCGTTCCTGACCTGGGACATGGTGCTGCCTGCCTGCGTCCCTGGCCAGGGACGTGACACTGCCTGCATGCGTTCCTGACCTGGGACATGGTGCTGCCTGCCTGTGTCCCTGACCTGGGACATGGTGCTGCCTGCCTGTGTCCCTGACCTGGGACGTGGTGCTGCCTACGTGCGTCCCTGCCCAGCTCTGACGTGATGCTGCAAAGGGGGGCAGGCTTGACAGGTGTGCGGCCGGTTGGTTCTGGGTCTTGCCCAGTGGGGGTGGGGCCAGCCGGGTCTGGGTCTCAAGTGATTTTGAGGCCTGCACAGGTGTGTGGGGACTTGACTCAGTCCCGTGGTGTGCCCCAGAGTCTGACAGGAGGGAGGAGGGAGCCTGATACCCACACCCAGGATCCACACAGCATGGCACCCGCACCCAGGACCCACACAGCAGGGCGGCGGGAGCCCCATTCTTCACAGAATTGGCCATTGATCACTTTGCTGTCAGCACCCTGACAGTCAGGGATCTATTCACCCACACCACAGACCCTGACAGCAGGGAGGTGGGAATATGTCTAAAGGCCAACTATTGGCACAAAGTACCTCTGAAGCCAAAAGAAGCCATTGTTGGCAACACAATGTATCATTTTGTTATTGTTTGTTTATTACAAAATTTATAAACTATTTTAACATACATTTTACTACTTTCCTTCATCTCTGACACTGCTATTATAGAGAAAGGGCAAATAGCAATATTAAAATATTTCCTCTACTTAATTCTCTCTTAATGTGCATGAATTTTGTGCACTGGGCCACTAGTCTCTTATAAGGAGCCAGGGGAAATGCTGGGCTTGGGAAGAAAGAGTTGCTATCATTTCCCAAGTGTAGTTCAAACGGGGGCACCTGATTATTTCCTTCTGGTCTCGCTTAGCTTGAGAAAAGAGAAGGGCCGGTTTGGGTGATTTGTCCTTAAAATGTTGAAGCCTGAGCAAGTGAAACTATTTCTGATGACTGCCACTGAGTTCCACCCTTTGAAACCAAGTGGTAGTGGAACGTTCTCTGGGATGATAGAGCTAAATGCTGTGCAGGAAGCTACAGTAGCTACTTCAGTTCAATCCCTGTGGTAGCCCCTGAATAATCACTCAATTCTTAAAGGAGCTACCAAGTGTCTTGTACACAGAAAGCGCTCAGTGAAGGGTAGCTATGCTTGTTCCTGCTCTTTTTAATTCTCACCTGAAGATATGTTTTTATTGATTTGTTTAGAAAGAGAGAAAGGGGAGAGAGAAACATTGATGTGAGAGAGAAACATTGATCGGTTGCCTCCCATATGCTCCCCAACTGGGGATTGATCCCGCAGCCTAGTATGTGCTGTGACTAGGAATTGAACCCATAACCTTTTGGTGCACAGGATGATGCTCCAACCAACCGAGCCACTGGGCCATTATGACATGTGAGTTATATATAATCTTGAACTGAAATGTTTTAGCCAGTGCTTGTCAACTCAAATGTTTTAATACAAAAATCACTAAAGAATCCGGGTATAAAGGCAAGAAACTCAATACTGTATTTCTTGTGTTCAAAATTAGGTAAAACACCCCCTAAAAACCAACTTTTATTTTCACGAAGGAAAAGCGATCCTCTTAGTTATTTGATTTAGAACAGAGAGGGGCAGGCTGCCTCCCTGTAACAAAAGGTGCTGCTCACATGATGCCGAGTGAGGTAGAGGCAGACACATCTAGTCTAGGGCTGCCGGATGTAGATGGTTTACTTCAGGGAGAGGTGGAATCCAGGGGCTCGGAGCTAAGACATTCCTCTTCTGAAAGTTGGAGATAATTGGAAGCTCTTGGCATCCTGAGGGAAGCGCCACCTGGAGGGCATCAGCACAGGGAGAGGTGAGCCCCTGTGAGTGGTCAGGGCCCTGTGAGGGGTCAGGCAGCTGCAGGCTGCTCTGCAGGCTTCTTCAGCTCACACCCGAGAGCCCTGCCTCCCCGGAGGCTGAAACACACTGAAGGCCACCTCGCTGGTACCTAGACTTGAGGGCTCAAATGCAATGGAAGAGACATGTGATTCAATTCGATTCAATTTGACCCAATTCAACAAATACATGCACCCACCTGGTTCAAGGGCACACACTGGATTCTGTGGCCACCGGAGAGGCAGTGTGGGCCCAACCTTGGAGCTTCCATGGAAACAGGACATAAGATAGTGTAAAGGGAGTTATTTTTCAGGGCCGGTTTGAAGTCCGCACACGTTTCTTAGCTTGGGCTGCCATAGTGAAATATCGTGGACTGGGTGGCTTGAAGAATGGGAGTTTATTTTCTCCTAGTTCTGGAGTCTGGATGTGCAGGGTCGGGGAGCCCGCAGGGCCGGGTTGTGGCGGGGACTCTTTCTGCCTGCAGCCTTCTCCCTGTGTGTGTACATGGATGGCCTTTCCTGCTCTTCCAGCCAGCAATCCAATCGGACCAGACCCCACCCCACGCCCCATTTAACTTTCATATCCTCCGAAAAGCCCTATTGACAAACACAGTCACGTTGGGGGTCAGCTTCGACATGAATTTGGGGGACACGATTCAGTCCATAGCGGTAGGTGCTCACCCACATTATGACAAACATATTCAAATGTGTCCATACCATACGTTATAGCCATATGTTGTTTTTTGCCATATCGTAAGCAAAACGATTTTTATAATTTTGCTTTTGAAATTATTTGGCTGTGAGTCATGTTTGATTGGCTGCTGCTTCTCAGCAGTCCTACACACTTGGGATTTTTTAAAAAAATGAAAATTGTAAGTTGTTTCCAAATGTAATGAAATATTTGTGAATTCTGAATTTGACAATGAGTGAGAGTGACACAATGCCAGATTTTTGTGTTTAATGGAGCATTAAGTGATTTCTGTTTTGCAGTTTTTCTGTTCTGGAGCCAGTACCTTTTCCCAGGTCTCACTTTTGTAGGCTCTTGAAAAGCTTAGGCCCCTCAGCATCGCCTGTACTGCCGAATGGCTAGTGAAAGGGCCCTGCTTGTCACATCTAGACGGGCAGCTCCCAGCCCTGGCCTCCCTGCCATAGCACAGCCAGCTGTCTGCCCCCTGGTGCCTCACTGCCTACGTCACAAGCATCCTCTTCCCTTCCAGCCTGCCTCCTGTTCCAGGCAGTGGCGTGCTGGGATCTGAGCTGAGGCCCCTTACTTCCAAGTTTGTGATTGACTATTAGGAAGCACTGAGGAAGTAGACTGGACATTGAGTGTGAGGGACAGGACCTGGAATAATAATGCCATTAGTAGCAGTGGGGCAAGAAGTCCGAGAAGGTAGGAAGGAGGAGGAGGGAGGGCGATGGTGAGGTCGGCTTGGGCTTGGCTTCCCTGGGCCCGTGTCTCCTCTTTATGGCTCTGTCTTGGCTTAATGGTCATCCTTCGGAGCTTTGTTTCCTAATTAATCACCATCCTTGACTCGCCAGGAACCAGGCGCCAGCCCAGGCTGTGGTGAAGCAGCCCGTCCGGGGAGCCAGAGGCAGGACCGCGGTCACCACCGTTGTCCAGACTGGCGGGGACTGGAGCACCGGCCTCTTCAGCGTCTGCAGAGACAGGAGGATTTGTACGTTTCCCTCTTCATTTATGTTCTTTACAATTTTCTTTCCTAGGACATCAGTGGGCGGAAAAGCAACATCAGGGGCAAGGGCAGAAATTAAATGGTTTTAGAATAACTGCTCACTAATCCTCTAGTGACTCAAATGTACTTCTTGGCAGGAAAAACCTTGCCTTTCAGAGATGTGGATGCTTTCATAGGCTAAGTGGTGACTTAAAGATTTTTTTAAAGGGCAAAGTACACTGTTGGCAAAGACTCATGAAATGGGCTCCCTCATCTGTGGGAGTATAAATTGGTACAGCCTTTCCAGTGGATGGTTTAGTAATACATGTAAAAAGAACCTCAAGTGATGTATAGGTTTTGACCCAGTAATTACATTTTTCAGGCATTTAGTCGAAGGAAATAAATCACGTGCAGAGATTTAGCAGCGGCATGAAATTTTGTAGCACTGGTTATTATAGCAACAATCTGGACAACTGAATGTTCAGTGAGGGCATCGCACGATGAGTTATTACACAGCCATGAGAAGTCATGTTGTAGAATAACATCTAATGGGATGGAAAGATGTTTGGGATCTATTTTTAAGTTAAAGAAGCAGATTGCAAAACTATGCACATTAGACACCATTTGGGTGGGTGGGGGGGGGGGGGTGCGAGAAGCACTTAAGAGAGATACCTGGCAGGATACAAATACAATGTTTACAGCCAGTGTCTCCAGACGGTATGCTAGTGAATAACTTTTATTTTGGTTTCTCTCTCTCCAGTGTTTCTATGAGGAATGGGCCGTACTCTTATAATAAGAGGAAACATTACAAAAGGAGCCCCCTTCATTAAAATCTTTGCAGACAGTGGTTCCCAAGGACCAACAACACTGTCCCCCAGGGGGACTGAGGTTCAAAGCTCAGGGATTCTATTTTTACCTCAGGACATTCTGACCCTCCTCGGGTGCCTTCCAGGGCCTGCTGCTCTGGCCCTAGGGAGCAATTCGATCGGTGAATTTTTCTTGGAGTGTGTGTGTGTGTGTGTGTGTGTGTGTGTGTGTGGCTTCCCTTTTGAAAGATGAGGGACAGTCTCAACTTCAAAATCCACACAGACCTCGGATCTAATATTTTTGAAGAACATGCCTCTCCCCGCTCTTTACATACAGGCTCTGGGAAGATCTGAATTTGTCCCAAAGTCTCCAGGATGGAGCAGTCCGAGAGCGTTGAGTGGTTACATGATCCTAGTCCTTATTCAACCAAGAGCCTTGCGGAGGGAAAAGCTCTAACATTTTTTGGTGCCTTGAACATCCAGGCTGTGCCTTCCCGGCCTGGGCCTCACGGAGAAGAGACTGCCAGCACCCGTCCCGACCTACCTTCTATTCCTGTCTCTTTGCCCATCTGACCCAGAGCTCAGCAGGTCTCTTCCTGCCACTGCTGCCCACGTGGATGTCTGACCAGGCAATTGTGGCAGTTCTCTGATTCCCTCAGGCTCTTGCTGTTGTCCAGACTTCCTGCCTTTGCTTGTCACCTAGGACTGCGTACAGAGAGCAGGCGGTCTTGTGGAGATGTGCAGACCTAGTCCCAGGTTTGCTTTGAATCTTAATTGCCTCTTACCAGTCATTTGACTTCAAACAAATTCTCTAGGTCTTCATTTTTCCATCTCTAAGATGAAGATAGGCCATGTCCACTTCAAGTGTTGTCAGGACTAAAGCAGACTATGTATAGAACCCACTCTTCACAGTGGAACCTAAGTGGACCCGAGGTTTTTTGGTTGAGTGTTGCACTGGGTTGAATAGTGACCCCTTAAAATCTATATCCACTTGAAACCTCTGAATGTGACCTCAGTTTGAAGCAGGGTCTTCCAATCTAGTCAAGTTAAAAAGAGGTTGCACTGGGTTAGGGTGGGGCCCTATCCCCATGGCTGGTGTCCTTATAGGAAGAGGGAAATTTGGACACAAACACACAGAAGAGAAGGCCATGTGAAGGCAGAAGCAGGAGTGGAGTGATGCACCCAGAAGCCAAGGAATGCTACAGATGACCAGTGGCCACCAAAACCTGGGGGAGAGGCATGGAGCAGGCTCTTCCCTCAGAGCTTCCAGACGGAACCACCCCTGCCGCATGCTGACGTCAGACCTCTCGCCTCCTAATTCTCCAGTGAGAGAACACTTTCTCTGGTTCTACGATGCCCGTCTGTGGAATGCATTTTGTTCTGGCAGCCATGGGAAAACAAGACTCAAGCAAATGCTGGGTTTCACTAGATGGCAATGGGATAGCTCACAGAATAAAAAAATCAACTGAAAACGGGGTTCAGAAGGGATAGATGCATTGACAGGAGCTAGTGGACAGTGTGGTGCATCCTTTTGTTTTCCTGTGTGAGACTCGACATCTCAGCAGACGGAGCCCAGTTTGTCTAGCTTAGGTCCCAGGCTGCCACTTGCCAGGCCAGGGCACTTTGAGTGACAGTTCTGTCAATATTGCCCACAATAGTAAGGGATAATTTCCTATATTTTTCTACTGGGGTGCTGTTACCAGGAAAAGCCCAACAAATCCTATATAATAAAAGGGTAATATGCAAATTGACCCTAACAGCAGAATGACCGGGAACGACTGGTCCAGGGGGCAGACGCTCAATGCAGGAGCTGCCCCCTGGTGGTCAGTACGCTCCCACAGGGGGAGCTCTGCTCAGCCACAAGCAGGCCTCATGGCTGCGCAAGCAGCGCTAGGGATGCACTGAGATTAGCAGGCGGGTGCTCTGTGCCCTTTGAAGATGTGGGTGCTGAAAGCTCAGATGCGGAAAAGAAGCCAAGTGCAATAGTGGCTGCTACCTGGCACCATGGGTAGAAGGTGAGGCATCCCAGTTCGGGAATGCTTGTGATGTGGTCCCAGAGAAGGCTTATGTGGAAGGTGTAATCCACATTGATTTGTAGTTCAGCCAATATTGACTGAGTTCCTACCTGTGGAACCTAAGTGGACACCTGTGTACAGACGTGTGATAGATGTTACAGACTTAATAGTGAATGAGACAGAGACGGTTTCTTAGAGGAGGTAGACAATAAGCAGATAAATAATAAACAATAATTGCAGTTGTGACAGGGCAATGAAGGAAATAAGCAGGGTGTTATGAGAGGAGATTACAGGGGTAAAGGACGGCCTCTCCGAGGACCTGACTTAAGCTGCACCCTGAAAGATGGTAAAGGGTCAGCCTGCAGCCTCCCTGTGGAGGACACCTCGAGCCCCAGGCGGAAAAGAGTTTTGTGTCCACCAGGAGCCATCAGCTGCCCAACATGGGCAGAAGGAAGAGGGCCAGGATTTTCTTCGGTTTTCTAGAAGAGGAGGGAAGAGGGAAAGTCCTCAGACTGGGGGGTTCATGTATGTGAGTAAGCCGCCTGCTCTCTGAAAGCAGGGGCCTCCGTTGTCTCGCTCACTGCCTGGATGCCTGGCAGGTGCTCCGCCCCGGGAGGTACTTTTCCTGCATGACTTTTAGCCTGTGTGCTCACTTGCCTCTTTCTCTCTCTCACGTCATTGAAAGAACCATAGGCCTCGGGGTTAGGAAGAACGGGGTCAGCTGGTTTGGCCGCTCGGCTGCTTGTCTCAATCCCGTGCGCAGCGTGCGAGGCAGGGCCCGGCACCCTTGGCTTTCTAAGCGTCCAGGGAGCAGGGCTTCTCCCCTTTGCATCCAGTTCAGTGCTTAAAGGAATGATTTTGAATAGGGTTCCAGGTGGATGAGGCAAACTTCAGAAGCACCTACCTCTTTGGTATCTGAAAAGCAGCTACTCCATCGTTGCCCTCTTGCTACCCGGTTCTCCTCTGAGCCCAGACAGAGTCTGTCTGCTTGGAAAGGTCTGCAAAAATTCCAATGAAAATAGGTTAATTTTTTTATTATAAAAATATCTTATAATCATCGTAAAAAAGACACATACAAACGACTATACGAGAAAAAAGCAGTATCCTGTACTAGGAGGACTGCGTCAGAGATCACCATGGCTACTGTTTTGGTACCTATCCTTCCAGATTTTTTTGCTGTGTGTGTGTGTATACAAGTCACACACAGAGTAGAATTGTAAACACCCTGTTCGGCACGTTTGTTTTCACAATGTACATCTAGGTGATCAGACCCTATCAGCACTTCTGGAGTTAATCATTTAAATTGCTGCGTAGATTCCATGGTATGAATGTAGCCTAATTTACTCACAAGTTCCCATTGTGGACCTATCTGTGTTTTCCAGATGTTTTGCTAAGCAAACCAATGCTCAGTGACTCTCCTATTGCTGTCATTTTGCATGTGCGTGCCTTATCTGTGGGCTAACTGTTGTACACTATACACTTACATGTGCCCTTCTGAATCGTGCTGGATGTTGCCAAGTGGCTCTCCACTTGGAAGGGGTGCTGCTTTACACTCCCACCCACAATGCGTGCTTGTGCCCCCTTCCTACTGGGAATGACTCACTGTCAGGTGGTTCTGCCTTTTTGCTAACAATGGTCTGCAATGTGCCTCGCTACAGTTTCCGCCTACCTCTCCTCCGTCGCTCTCCGGGCTCCACCCTCTGGTTTGTGGAGGCTTGTTCTCTGGGCTCCCCTATGAGCTGGCACGATGAATAAGGAACCACATCCCATGCATGGAGGTGGAGCCCATCTCAGAGAACAGGCCAGGGACATTTAGGCAGTGGGCGCTTACATAACCACCAGGCCTGTGAGTGGAAGACAAGAGGCTGCATTTCTGGCACACCTCCCTCCTGAGCCTAAGCACCTTCCCTTTTTAAACAATGTGTACGTGGTATTACGCTGTGCATAGCATTACGCCATTGTGTTTGTTAACTCAAAGTAGGTCCTAGGGATTTGACTCTGTTGGTGCTTAATTGATCTTTCATTGCATTCTTAATTATGGTATGATTTCTACCACCATGGTTTGGTTACACTTCCATTTATTCGTGTACATTTAAGTTGTTTTAACTTGTAACACTGCAGTGGACATCCTTGTAGCTGCCTCTTTGTGAGCACGTGAAAGCATTGCCCCCGGGTAGTGCTGGCAAGTGGAATTGCTGGGTCCTAGCGGATTTAACGTTCCCTGGGTTCGGCCAGGTCGCCTTCCAGAGTGGCTGTGCCAGTTCCCACTTTCATCATTGCATGGGGCACCTGCAGTGTGTCCCAAAAATGTGTACACACTTTGAATAATTGTGTTTATAAAAATACATTTTGTTTTCAAAATGTAATAGAATCTACAGGCATTGTGTATACATTTTGGGGGGACACCCTGTATTTTGCCATGGTTACCCACAACATTTGATATTAAAAAATTAGGAACATTTGCCATTCTTATGGGTAATAAATATTCCAGACTAATGCAAGTCTGAATTCAGCCGTGTGATGCCTACGGTATGTGATGTAGCGGTTATCTTAAGGCTTCTGAATGAATGAAATGATGTTCCTCAAAGACAGGCTGCTCCTTGTCATTTCCCCACCAACACCCCAGTCCCCACGTTCCTGTGTACCTGCTCCCTCGCCCCCTGTGCGACACTGAGGAAGTCCAGAGTCCGGGAGGATTCCTAGAAGGTTCTGGGCTGAAGCAGCATTCCTAGCTTTCTGCTTCTTGGCCACTGAATCTGGGAGTGGGACTTTGCACTCCTCGCTGTTGGGATGGGGTTGGGGTAGGGGAAGGAGGGACAGGTAGGCTGGGAAGGGCCTTGGCAGGAAGTTCTAGTGCATTAGTGACATGGTACCTGCGCATCAAAAGGCTGTGATCACTACCATTACAGTCATTAGAATGGCTAAAATAAAAGACTGACAATAGCAAATGTTGACGAGGAAGTAGAACAATGAATTCTCATACATTGTGGGTGGGAGTGTTAAATGGCACAAATACTTGGGAGAACTCTTTGCATTTGTTAGTTTCTTGTAGAAGTTAAACATAAATCTACCCCATGATCCAAGCAATTCTAATTCCAGTAACCCACCCAAGTGGAATGCCCATATAAATATTTGTATATGCGTGTTAATAGTACTTTTTCATAATAGCAAAAATTGGAATAATTAATGGGAGAATGGATAAATAACTTGTAGAACAGTGATGGCGAACCTATGACACGTGTGTCAGAGGTGACATGCGAACTCATTTTTTTGGTTGATTTTTCTTTGTTAAATGGCATTTAAATATATAAAATAAATATCAAAAATATAAATCTTTGTTTTACTATGGTTGCAAAGATCAAAAAATTTCTATATGTGACACGGCACCAGAGTTAAGTTAGGGTTTTTCAAAATGCTGACACGCCGCGCTCAAAGGTTCGCCATCACTGTTGTAGAATATTTGTACATTGGAATACTATCTATAATAATAAAAGCATAATATGCTAATTATACCAGATGTCCTTCTGGACAAAGCTGCAGGGTGGGGGTGGCAGCAAAGGTGGCATAGGCCAGGGCCAAGGCCCTTGCATGAATTTCGTGCATCAGGCCTCTAGTTCAATAATAAAAAGAATAATTTACAGATTCACATAGCAATACAGATGAATCTCAAGAAACAAGATGTTAAACAAAAGAAGACAATTACAAAAGTATAGACCATTCCATTTATATGAAGTCCAAGAAGAGGGGAAACTTATCTATGAGAAGAGAAATCAGAATTGTGGTTGCCTCTGGAGTTGGGGGTGGGGGTGGCGGGGAGATGGGATTGTCTGGGAAGAGGCACGAAGGACCTCCAGGGTGAGGGCACATTCTACACATTCGGTTATTTGGTTGAATATGATTGTTAAACTCATCTAACTGAACGTTTATGATCTGTGCACTTTCTTGTATATAAATGATGGCTTGATAACGTATTTGTTGAAAACATTTTAAAGGTTATGTTTAGCTTTATTTGTTTCATAGTCCTAATTACTTGTATTCATCAAGGTTGTCATCTTTCCCGATGTGAGATGACATAACATCTTAACTGTACATCAGGGATTCTTAACCAGAGGCCTGTTGATCGTTTTCAATGGATCCTGAACCCCGTGGAATTGAATGCACAATTTTGCATGTCGGTGTGCACGTATTTTTATTTTCCCTCGAGGAGTGAGTTCATATTCTCAAAAGGGTCTGTGACCCAAACCTATTTAAGACAGAACCTCTGTGTTAGTTGGTTCATGCAGAATGTGTAGGAAACAGTATCAGTCGTTAAAGATGAATGAATAAATGACAAACTGTTTCCAGTTGACGTTCAAAGAACCACGCTTCTATTAGTTTACTGATTAAAACTGGCAGATGTCAGTGGCCCCACTAAATTAGCAAAAATGAGAGTAACCTCCTGATCTGAGAAATAGAATGAAGTCCTGATAAGGAGCAGGCAGGATCAGTGGGCCAGTGACAAGCTTTCACCCCCATCTACAGACAACGATGCCTGCTATTCAAAAGCATCATAACTGTGTCTATTTTAAATATTGAAATCAGGTAGATAAACATAATAGAGGTGACAGTTGTGATTCAACTGGAAAACATTATTTAATGCTTCCTCTTGACAGGAAAAAACAATTACCATAGTGACCCTAGCAGAGCTCTATCAGGTTCAGCACTGTCAGTGTTTAACAAAAGGAGACAGTTTGACAGGCCTCAGTTATGGCGATTTTCATACACCGAGTTTTGAGAATTGGTCACTCCTCCTCTTGATTGCAGGGAGACGGTGCAGCATTAAATTGATGGCACAGGGCAGTAAATGCTCTTTGGGGTGGAAACTCTCTCTGATCACATCTGAGCACCTGGCCTTTCTTTTGTGTGGTTATTGACAGGTTTCTGTGGTCTGTTTTGTCCCGTATGTCTTGAGTGTGACATCGCCAGGCATTATGGAGAGTGTTTTTGTTGGCCGTTGTTACCTGGCTCCACCTTTGCCCTGAGAGTTGGCACCAGAGAGAGACATAAAATATGGGTAAGTGTGTTTGTTTGCATGTGCGAACCTGGGTCTGTGTGGGAACCTTGATGCCTTTCCAACCTGTGCAGGGTATTTCCAAGGGGGACTTACTATAATGCAGATTACGGGTCAGTGGGCCAGTCCTGTTCCCCTCATTGCATCAGAAGACTGCGGGTAGCGTTGCATCAAATTTGGAAGATAGATTCGGGCTGGTCTGATTTAAAATGTAGTCTATGTGGTATATGCAGAATTCACTTCCAGTTTATCTGGGACTGAGTTACTGTGAGGGAGCGAGGACAGACAGCATACAGATTAAGGTGTGGATAGTTAAAAAAGAGCGTCTCTTTATATATATTCATATGAAATGGTCTCTAAGACACATTTTTAAGTGAAAAAAGAGCACAGCATAGCAGTTTTATTTACATAAAATACTATATATGTATATACCGTGTAGACAGAATTTATTTGGGAGTGTAGGTAACAAACTCCAACACTGCTTGCCCTAGACAGGTAATTGAGTGTCTGGGGACACCTGTAGAACGGGATTTACTTTTTACTTCCTACCCCTGCTTACTGTGGGAATTTTGGGTGATGCGGACTTATTACCCACCTCAAAGAAATAAATTAATTAATTACAAATGTTAAGTTCTAAGAGGAAGAAAAAAGGTGCTGGCAGAGAAAGCAGTGGTTTCAAGTATGAAGCTGGTATCAAAGCCCAAAGAGCAGGTGTTTGAATTGCAAGGACTGATTAGCAGTGAGCAGGTTGGAATTTGGTAGCCAGCGGAGCTATGTCCCTGTGTGCTGACTTGGGGGTTTCGGTGGACCTTGGAAGCTGTGCATGGGATGGGCCACCAGGTAAGATTGTAGAGGCCCCTGGATGATGACTGAGCCTGTGCAGTTACACCAGGTAGTGCTGTAGAGGCCCTGGATGATCACTGAGCCTGTGAGATTGTACCAGGTAGTGCTGTAAGGCCCCTGGGTGATGACTGAGCCTGTGCAGTTACACCAGGTAGTGCTGTAGAGGCCCCTGGGTGATGACTGAGCCTGTGCAGTTACACCAGGTAGTGCTGTAAGGCCCCTGGGTGATGACTGAGCCTGTGAGATTGCACAAGGTAGTGCTGTAAGGCCCCTGGGTGATGACTGAGCCTGTGAGATTGCACCAGGTAGTGCTGTAAGGCCCCTGGGTGATGACTGAGCCTGTGAGATTGCACCAGGTAGTGCTGTAAGGCCCCTGGGTGATGACTGAGCCTGTGAGATTGCACCAGGTAGTGCTGTAAGGCCCCTGGGTGATGACTGAGCCTGTGCAATTGCACTAGGACAGACACTGTGTCTCCCCGCAGGGCACGCTGTGTGAGGACTGGCTGGCTGTGCATTGCTGTTGGCCTTTGTCCATCTGTCAGCTGGCCCGGGAGCTCAAGATGAGGACCTCCCATCTCTACGAAATCTCAGCAGCCCCTTCAAGGAAGGACACCTTTGTTTGACAAAGAAAGCAAGAAACTCCTCCTCACTCCCCCTTGCCCTCCTCTCAAAACCCTCTTAGAGAGATCATTCTTCTTGTTAAGTTTTCACGGAAATAGATGAAAATAAACGATCCCCCCCCCCCCCACTGTCTTCACTGCTGCTCTTTCTTTCCACACCCCCAGTGAAGACTGTTCGTCTGGCCTTGCTGTGCCTGGAGTTTGGGAAGGCTGCGTTTTCCACCATCTTCCTACTGCCCTCCTTTCCCGAGGATGTCTGGGAAGCAGGGAGAATTGCTATACGGCTTTCTTATGCCAAGCTCCCTTTCCCAAAGCACCAGTGGTGGGGCAGGAGGTGGTTAATTTTCATTAGCACCTGGACTGGGCACACAGTGTCACGGAAATACAGAAGCATCACCCCGACTCCTTCAGTCCGACTGCATCGCGGGGAAGCCTCAGGTTGCTGCCCATCCTGAACACCTCCCCGGAACCGGAACCGGCAGATCTTCAGCCCCAGGTCCACCGCCCAGTTAGGCAACTGTTCTGGGTTGAGTTGAATTGTGTCTCTTCCCCTCCCTTCCCCAAAGATACGTTGAAGTCAACTCCTGGTATCTGTGAATGGGACCTTATTTGGAAATAGGTAGGGTCTTGTAGATATAGTTAAGATGAGGTCATTAGGGTGGACCCTAAACCAATGTGATGCTGGCCTTACAAGAGGAGGAGAGAGACTTAGAGACAGAGGGAATGCAGCCATGACCACGGGCCAGAGACTAGAGTGATGCAGTCACAGCCAAGCTCCGCCTGGGGCTACCAGAAGCTGGAAGAGGCGAGGCTTGGAGGGAGCTCCCCCTGCCAACCTCTTGACTTTGGACTTCTAGCCCCAGGTCCCGGAGAGTGTCTCCATTGTGGTACTCGTTGCAGCAGCCCAGGAAGCTAATGCACCTGCCCTCCGCCGTGAAAATAATGCTCTTGCTTTTGTTAGGCGGCTGCACAGAACCGCGCTGGGGAGCCTGGCTTCCTACACTAAGTGTGTCACGGGAGGCAAATTTGCTCATCTCCTTGTGCCTCAGTTTCCTCATCTGTAAAGTGATGGTTCTAGCCTCAGAGGCTGTGAGGGTCCTAAGAGTTAAGACTCAGCACGGAGCCTGGCGAGCAGCAAGCACTCGGGGCGCACGCTGTTGGGCTGCTACCTTGTATTCCTGGCACATGCGACTGCTTTTCCATCTCCCAGTGGCGATACAAAGTTTTAATTAAATTTTAAATTAAAATGGAGCCAGTTAAAGAAAGGATATTAAGTAAATAATAATATAATGCAGGATGTATTATAGAATTGTACACTTGAAACCTATATAATTTTATGACCCCATGTCACCCCCATAAATTTAATTAAACACTTTTTTAAAAGTAAAAAAAGAAAGAAAGAAAGAAAGAAAGAAAGAAAGAAAGAAAGAAAGAAAGAAAAGGATGGTTGGTGGATATGGAAAATATTGTGGTGGTAAAACAAGAATTCTATTGAGTACTTGCCAAGCACTGTTCGAAGCATTCTACGTGTCTCCAGACATTTATTCCCTAACACCACTCAGGTAGGTGCTATTATATCTTCATTTTCCAGGAAAGGAACCTGAACCACAGAGAGGTTGGGCGATTTGCCCAAGGCCACACAGCTGCTAAGCGACAGGCAGCCAGGCTCTTGAGGGTGTGCTGCTCACCTTTGCACTAAGCACCCAGAGACTTCTGGCCAGGAGGCCTGTGGGGGCCCCTGTGGGCTTGCTCTATGGAGGTGACAGCCTGGTTGGAGGAAGTGCCTGTCACTCACCCCTGCTCCCAGCCATCCCCACCGAAAGGAAGCCCTTCCCCTCCCACCAAGTGATTCCTCCCCTCCCAGCCCTCCCTTTTGAATGCCCAGAGCAGCTGCCAGGAACCAAAGCCCTTTGGGAAAATTAATGCTCAATGCTGACATTAATCTATGACGAAGTATTCCCCTCTCCAAGGCAGCTATGAAAAAACTGGACCTGAGGAACAGCATTTATTTTTTAAGTGAAAATAAACCTGTTTTATTGTTTCCTACCAAAGCACATACCGGCTTCACAAGCGTACAGCTGGGAACAACATGCATTTCTGGCAAAGGAGACTTGGTAATCTGTCCACTTCCACAGGACTGCGCCCTCCCGCGCGGAGAGCAGATGGCATTTCACGCTGTTTGTGGCCCACTCCTCCCTGCTGATGGGGGAGGTGTGAGCGGAGCCCCCACATCCCCGCTTTCCTTCTTCAGATCGGCCTGGGTGGTAAAGTCAGACTTCACACTTCCTTAGAGCCACAGACCCAAACAACTAAAACCCTGGGCTCTGGAAGCATTGAGTCGGTCCCGAGTCACAGAGCGCATGGGCGGTTCTTTAGAATCCGCTGCCGGAGTGGAGTCCTGAAGCGGGGGTAGGTGGGAGGGCCAACCTCTGGTTTCCTCCAGAACACGCCAAGTCCAGGGGGAAAAGGACTTGGCAAAGCATGTGACTCCTTCCCGGATGTCCAACACCAGATATCGAAGCGTGAGACAAGGCGGATGTTAAATTCCCATTTCCTCAGCCTCACAGCAAGCTGTCAGTGGTCCAACTCGGAGAGTTCCCCCACAGTGAAGGCATGTTCTGTGGATCTTTCTTCTCACTAGAAAGTTCCGTGTGGTTTTCCAAGACGCAGAGTGTGGAACGGGTCTCTGAGGACTCCATGTGGGTAAACAACACCAACACACACGCAGCAGACAGTGCAAAGTAATCCGCACAAGCGGCACATTACAAAACCGGAAAAAAGCGAACCAACCCCACCAAGCCCCTCGGCTGCACAGCGGCAGGTCCAGGAACTAAGCTGCCAGCCTGCGACTCTATTTAGGACGAAGAGATGACACGTGGGAAGGCCTTAAGTGTCCACTACCCTACAGAATGATCTTATATGTTTATATATTTTATATATCTAAGGCTTATTTACACAACAGTCCACAGTCACTAACATATTATTACATATTCTTTTTATAAACATTATTCGCACACATATTTCCTCACAAAGATTCTCTTTTGGTCTATTAAAAACATTGTACTTAAAAAAGGAAGCAGAGACACAAAGTCTAGAGCTTTTCTGCTTATATTTCCATGGAGGAGCGAATTTTTATCCCTTTTCTTTTCCCCCCTAAACACCTTCTCCCCACTGACCCAATGCATAGTAGTAAGAAGCAACAATTCCAAAAGGTGAAACTCAGACTTCATGGTTAGCACACTATTCTGGGGGACCTCATTCTAGTTATTAAATATGTTTTTATTGATTTTAGAAAGAATGGAAGGGAGAAGGGGAGAAAGTGAGAAACATCCATGTGAGGGAGTAACATTGATCAGCTGCCTTCCACGCACACTCTGACCAGCGATTGAACTGGAAACCTGGGCATGTGTCCTGACCAACCGACCGAGCCACACCGGCCAGGGCATGGGCTGCCCTCCTTCCAATCATGATAATGCACCCTTGCCTGCCGCCCCAGCACCTCCCCCACCTTTTGACTCCTGACTCCGGGGAATCTATAGTCCTGGAACTGACAGTCTGGAGGTGAAAATGTTAGGATACAGGGGAGCTTTTCTCTTAAGCTTCTGGGTCTGGCTGGGAAGAAATCAGAGTCTTCATTTTGTGTTTTTTAAAAAATATTTGGTTGATTGATGATGCAGGTGCAAGGGGAACTTTCCATCCTAAACTCTAGAAAGTTCCCAGAGACTTAACACCCAGCCAATGTGAGAGGGAGAGTGGTGGTTTCCAGTTGCTCTAAACCGCAGAGGGAGAAGTCACTGTGAGA